TATATATAATATTAGTATGAAAACATGTGAAATGTAAAATAAAATGGGCCCAAAAATAAATGTCAAAGACACTGTATAGGCATTGGATAAAAGCAGTCTTAAAAGTAGACTGATAAGGATTGCAAGGTTGAACGTACACTGCAGAAATAAAGAAGTTCCTGTTGATGCTCAGGTATGGGGTGTGTGTGAAAAGCCTCAGATTGATACTACATTTTTCAGACTCTGGGGTTGCATTCTAGTTTCAAGAAAGCCAGGTCGCTCACTCTGAAGATGGGGGAGCAAGTTCACCTTTATGCGACTTTAACAACAATGCAGGCCAAAAGTCTGAAAGTAGAACCTTCCATCTGAGGCTCCTCATATGGGTATTGTGCTTTGTGATAAATTCTCCATCAAGGTCAATTTGTCCCCAAACTAGTCACCTGAGGCATTTGCTGAAAGTGCTGTATTTGTGAGCCTTTCTGCATGGTTGAGGACATCAGCGAGCATCTTACCTTCATTAAGTTGTTTTATAATGAATCAAATTTCAGTATTGATGCCATTGTGTCTTTGTGTGCCAGCACGCGAACATCTGTTTTACACCACGAAATTCTGAGTGCGCACACATGTGGGCCGCTGGTTTATAGGCTGATCTGCCTTTCAGTCTTAGTCTAGACCTGCTTATCACCATCCATGGTGGAGATTTTGTGGACTGCAGCAGAACTTATTGTAACAATTATTGTGTCTTTGCTTAAGGCAGAGTAGAAAAATGAAAGAGGAAATTCCCCCCATTTGATGTCGGCCGCTACAGCTGCCAGTCTTTTACTTGGCTGTGTGATTGCTATGAAATACTTTGCATAGCTTACAGTTTGCTTTCCCTTGACTCCACATACCATAACACAGTTGTCTAGCTCAGAAGCATTACCTCAGAGGTTAGTTACACTGATAGCCTTGTTATGCAAAGTGATACATAACTACCAAATAACAGCTCACTGCAATTTCTTACATGGCTACAACCGCTTTTAAATACAGTGCCATAGGGATATAGATCAAACTTTTTCACTATAATATTGAGGAGCTGAGCAGGTACTGAAATTTGCATTCTGGTGGCTGAATTGTGTGTTGTCACACTGTCAGGATTCTGTTGCTTAAACTAGAACTAAAGGCAAAACTTATTTTGGTTTAGGATAGAGTAAGGGAGGTGTTTAACCCCTGTCAGCTCTCTTTGGGGAGATTTCTCTTCACTTCACGGGAAGTGAGAGGAAATCCCTCCAATGTGAGGAAATCACTGCTGGTCAGCAGGGTCACCAGAACTAGTGTCCCTATTGGAAGATTTCCCATCTATTTCTGTTCTGGCGACTACCAAAAATGTGTGATTTTTCTTTCCATCCAGGATTCCCGAGGGCCACTTAGGCATGGCATATACTTATATTGGACCAAGCTGGAACAATATAAGTATGCATGAAAGGTTATACCTGGAGTTATGCTTTAAAAGGCAAGCAGTAAGGCATTAAACCAGGAATGCTGAGCACAGTGTCCTATACTGTATACAAATGAGTGCTACAGAAAACATTTACATATGATATATAATATATATACTGTATATAAATATATAGATTATGTATAATAAGCAAGTAAACATTAGAATGTTACTTTAAAATTTGCTTTACCAGGTAAATGCTACAATAAATCAAATTATGTAGTTCATTAAAATACATAAGTTTCCCAAAAAGTCAATTTTTGCAATTGTCCACTCAGTTTCTACCTGACTGATAATAGACGTCGTTTACAATTGTATTTTCTTCTGTTGCAGGTCGTCCTCTCCTGATCTGGCCTCAAATACCAAATTAAATGCAAACAGGAAGAGCACAGGGCAACTGAATATAAACTCTGGGGTTGTTGGTGGTGGAAATACAGCCACATCTGAACGAAGCCGACACCAGAGAAGCTTTTCCGTTCCTAAAAAGTTTGGCGTTTCAGATAAGTCCTCTGACCCACCACGTAGCGCCACACTAGACCGGATTCAGGCCTGTACTCAGCAAGGGTTCTCTCCGAAAACCAGGAGTTCATCATCACTGAAAGACAACATTACTGATCCTTCTCACATCAATAATCCCACCAACTTGCTGTCTACCATATTCTGGGTTGCTGTCGCCTTGATGGAATCAGACTTTGAGTTTGAATATTTGATGGCATTGAGGCTGCTTAACAGACTCTTGTCTCATTTGCCCCTGGACAAGTCTGAGAACAGAGAGAAGCTGGAGAAGCTGCAGGGACAGCTCAAATGGACAGACTTTTCAGGGCTGCAGCAACTCCTGCTCAAAGGGTTCACATCTCTTACAACTACAGACTTAACTCTTCAGCTCTTCAGCTTGCTGACTCCAGTTTCTCGGGTTTCCATGGTGGATTCAACACAAGTTATAGGTATAATTTTCATTTATGAACACCCCACGCAGGTTCAGGTCTTCATGTAACCACGTGTAACTGCATGCAGCCGCATCCTCCCATAGGTAGGTGCAAGCTGCTGCACGCAATTCAGTCAGCACCTGTCCCTCCCAGGATGGGGTCTCTGCTTGGATGTGATTACATCAGATTACCCCCGATCTGCCTTGATCAAGTCCGCTGAAACGGAATGCCTGTGCAGAGTTCCTACCTGAATAGATTGTATTGTTAATATCAACCTGTGTCTAGCTGGTACAGATTTTACTTTTAGCATTTCTTTCCGGAACACTCTGCATTTTTTTCATCATCTGCTCAGTTGGAATTGCCCAGGTTTGTGACAGGTTTACGTTAAACAGTGTATCATTAGGTTTATGTGAGGACAGCGCAACTGGTAAACATTCATTCAGCTGTAAATACCGCCTGCAGTGCAGATCCGTCCAGACCTATTTTTGTTGTGGTCAGCGTTCCTGCCCACATGAATGTGTACAGTTCATTCTGTCCCTATTAAAATGAATTAGGCATAGTTTAGGACTGCTACAGTGTGGTCTTCATTAAGAGAAGACAGCATGTTATATATGCAGAGTCAAATACGGGTATGTGCCCCTAAACGTTTTTTTTCTGAATCCAATCTCAGCTTGAAACCGCTCAGTAGTTTATAGATAACAATGCCTTTTCCTATATGATTCATGTTTTAATGTTATTACCTACCCTAAAAGAGATCCCCACCTGTTCGCTTGTGTTTTATTTGCATAGTGGTGGGATGCAGCTTAAGCCTGGTATATAATTGTTTACTATGGCCTGCTTGCAGAGGAAGTGGAAAGCAGCTAAGTAGCAAAACAAATAGCTTTGCTTGTTTCTGCTAGCTATTGCTTAGAGAGCTGTTATTGATCAGTCATTGATTACTGGAAGAAATATTTATAGCCTTAAGGTGCTCATACACCTTACAATTATCTGCAGATTTTCTGTGGTCACATGGAAAAAGTGCAACAGATTGGCCCAGGTGGAGATTACTCCATCCACACAGTTAAGTGTAGATGGAGGAATCTGTTGCACCTTTTCCATCTGACCACAGAAAATCTGCAGATAATTGTAAGGTGTATGGCCATCTTTAGGCAAGCATATGTTAAAGGAATTATGTACTTACAGTGCACACCACATAATTGACTGCCTAAGGAAAAAAAAAAGTAAATGTACTTACTATTCTTATCTCGATTACTGTGTTTGACACACTGCAGACGCAGGCTCCCAGATTCCACTTCAAACCTCCAATGCTGTAGTGGCCTCTCATCCATGAGAGAGCGGGATCTTGCATTAGTTTCCCAATCATGGCCAAAAGAAGCAGAGGAGAATGGAATCAGACCCTGATGGGCTACAGGCCTTGGTTTGTTTATTTGCCTCAGGCAACAGGGACAAGAATATAATATGCTCTGTGAGTGCAGGTATCCGTTAAAGCATATCTCTCAAAGACAGAAGTGGAAATCATAGCGCACCCCGTATGCATGAAATGATTTTATTTAAAAAAAATACACTCACATAAAATGAATAAAATCGCATATCAGAATCTCATTCCTGGATGTTAGATCTGTCCTCCTCTTTTCCTCCAGGCGTTCTAACGTCACTGACTGAGCTTCTACGCATTACGTCTAATTGACTTCATCAGGGAGCTTCTACGCCTTACGTCTAATTGACTTCATCAGGGAGCTTCCTGATGAAGTCAATTAGACATAACGCGTAGAAGCTCAGTCAGTGACGTCAGAACGCCTGGAGGAAAAGAGGAGGACAGATCTGACATCCAGGAATGAGATTCTGATACGCGATTTTATTCATTTTATGTGAGTGTATTTTTTTTACATAAAATCATTTCATGCATACGGGGTGCGCTATGATTTCCACTTCTGTCTTTGAGAGATCTTTTTTGGGCTGTCGGTAGAGGAGAAAACCGTTAAGATCAGGATTGGTCTCATCTGAAGGAAGGAAGATCACAGCTACAAACAGTGTGAGGAGGGTGTTTTACACTATAAGAAGCGCTTTGAGACCCAAGGGGCTGAACACGGAGGTGAGAGGCTTATTTATCAGAGCACTGGTTTTTTATGAGCACTTCAGCAAAAAATACACAAGAAACTACAAGAGTGGGCAGAGTGACGCACAAAGAAAAACTAAGACAACACTTTTTTTTTTTTTTTTTGAGAGAGAGCAGCCTGCTTTTAATGAATTTATGAACACTTTGTTTCAAATTATGTGTTTTACACACTGACACAGGACGTTTGCTACTTTATTAGTCATTTGGAGTTTCTTTGTGTGAATCACAAGGTGATAATCTAAACAGTTGACTAGAAGATTTAATTTTGAAAATATTTGAAAAATATCATATGTTTTTTTTTCTCTCACAGTAGTATTGTTCACTATAATATTTGGTTTTTGCACATATTATCCGTTAAAGCATTGCTGAATCTAGAGAAAATGTATTATTAGTGGACCCCTCCATCAAGTTCATATAGACGTTTACTAATGTTGAGATAAGAGGACATTTAGGAAAGAGTCGTCTTTTCTAGAGTGACTGCCATCATTTCATGTGCTACTATGCCATTGCTTAGTCTACTATTTATGCCCCAGTTTTATGCTGTGTGTGCAAGAAGTGGTGAAGCTCCAATAGTTTAACATATAATGGGTGCTTAACATGAACCTAAACTCACTAACTAACTTAACTAAGGGACACCGCTCCACAGATTCAATTTGTTTTTTTGAGACAAGGTTTGAGATGCCTTCAGTGGAAAAGGTCATTCTTATTTTCAATAAGCCCTAGTGTGTGTTTCCAGTGTGTGTTTCCAGTCTACTGACATCGAAATTAATGTTGGTTACAGGCTTTCCTCTGAATATCTTGTGTTTGATGCCTCATTTGATCCAGCATTTTGAAAATCCCAACCATTTCTGCAAGGAAGCAGCCGAAAGGATTGCACAGGTTTGACTTCGAAACACTCTTGCTGTTATTGTTATGTTTGGCTTTATTAACAGTGGCTATAACCCAACAAACCTGTCACCTTCTATAGGTTTGTCTGGAGGAGAAAAACCCAAAGTTATCCAACCTTGCCCACGTCATGACTTTGTACAAGACACACAGCTACACCAGGGACTGTGCCACATGGGTGAACGTGGTCTGCAGATACCTGCATGAAGCTTTTACAGACATCACTCTCAACATGGTGACTTACTTGGCAGAGGTAATGTTTGAATATTACACTGTGTATATGGCTTAGTTATTGCTTTGCACTTTGCATGTGTGTCTGTTTTCATTGAGCTGACTTCACTATGCTGTTCTTTGGAACTATATGGTCCAAGCGCTGGCGATACAGTATGGCTCAGAATCCACATTTAATTAAATTATGTATAATGTTTTGTTTTACTTACAATTACTAAACATGTACATTCCACCTAAACTTGGTGGATAATGCTACCGACTATCAAATATAAATACTGGTAACAGAACCTCTTTTACTATGGCTTAAATTATATATAATATTATACAATATAATCATTTTATGTCTGGGGGATTAACCATTAGTTATGAAAACAACAATTTTCTTGTGTATTTACTTCATGGCAGTAAATAGTTAAAAATCCTCCAAACAAAGCATGGCCATATTTAAGCCTTTACAGTCTATTCACACTCCAGGATTGACAATGGACTGTAAGGGCTTGAAACATCGCCATGCTGTTTTTGGAGGATTTTTTAAAACTAATTACTGCTATGTTGTAAATACACAAGACTATAAAAGAGTTATTTTTAATCTAATGAAGTACAAGTCCTCTGTGCAAAACACCTGGCTGAAAAAAAGTATTGTGGCTATAGCGCAAGAAGTGCTGACAGGCTGGTGTTTATTACATAGGGCATTGGTCTGACAAAGTTGGGGTGCACCCTTTGTTTACTTTGGACAGACAGATTAAAGTGTATTTATAGCCAAAACCTTTTGGGGAGTTTTGGGTAGAGAAAGGAAGGTTTAAAGCCCCGGCCACAATTATTTGCTGTCTGTGTTCCATTGGGGAAATTTCCATTCACTTCCTGTCCCAGAGTAAGGGGAATTCCTCTCTTAGACATCCCCATATCTCTTGTTCTTGGGACAACTATAAAATATTATACAGTTGTTTCTAGATGACAATAGTCACCAGTATAAAAAGAGGGGTGAATCTTGTTGCCTAGAGATACACTTTAACACATACATACAAAGATTTGGCACATTGCAGTACAGTAGTAGTATAGATAATATCTGCTGCATAAGTAAGGCAGTTGGAAGTACTTTGCAGTAGAATATATAGTATTGCTTTTTTAACCTATATCTCTCCAATGTTCTTTCTAGTTGCTAGAAAAAGGCCTTCCCAGCATGCAACAGTCGCTCCTGCAAATTATTTACAGCCTTTTGAGCCATATGGAAATGTCTCTGATTCCCGGCAAGCAGTTCAACATGGAAGTACTTAAGACGATTGAAAAATTTGTGCAGGTATGCAATTGTTTGCCCACTGTAGTATGGTACAGTAAACTCTCCGTTATCCGGTATTCAACTAACCAGAACTCTCATCTAACCAGAAAAACAAAATCCCCTTTGTACTCACTGTTCTGCTGATCTGCTACATGTATTATCCTGGAAACAATCGTGGGTCTATTTGTCTTTATTTCCTTTTTTTTTACTGCATTTCAATATTTGTATAAAGTCAATACAGAGTTTATAATATGATGTGTTATAGTATGGGGTATGGCATTAGTTAGACCTAATTTTATTAGTAACTCTCAAGCAACCAGAAACTACATTCATCTGGAATCTACCAATGCCTGTGGATGCCAGATAACGGGGAGTTTACTGTATATACACACGGGTTGGGCTGTAGTAAAGTAGGTTGATTTGTATGAGAATCGTTGTCCTCTTTTAGTTCTTCATATTATTCCCCCTTTAAAGACCAGCCCTTTGAAAACTGATAGTTTAGGTTTGTAGGCAGTGGCGACTCTAGGAACAATCTATAGGGGTGGCACATAAGATACCACAGTCAAATCTGGGGGGGCACTAATAATTTTCATTGCATGTTGCAACCGCTGGGCGCCGAGAGCTGATTTAATTGCGGATGGCATCTGCGCCCTGCGGTTCCGACATGTAGGCCAACACCGCCCACAATCCTGAATACCGCAACCGCCGACGCCATCCACAATTAAATCAGCTCTCAGCGCCCAGTAGATGCGGAATACAGCAGGGTCAGAACTGCAGTAAAAGTTTATTTAACTTTTTTTATTTTTTAAACTTTTTTTCTATTTTTTTTTATTTTGTATTTTTTTTACATTTTTATTTATTTAATTTTTTTACATATTTTTTGTATACATGTTGGCATATTCAGTGATTTTTCGACTTTTTATTTTCTGGATGCTGCAGCCATGAGCTCTGTTCACCTGGCTTCCAGGATTTGCCAGTCTTGCCTTGGCCATTACTGTGCGGTTTGGTCTTTGAAGTCCTCACATTTATCAACTTCTAGTGATAGTCTAATTAGAAGAATCAACAATTTGCAATTTAATGCTGTTGACTATTTGCATGCAGTTGTCTTTGAATTGTACAGAATGACACAGTGTGGAAATACAGATATTTGGGATTCATGTACTATATGACTCTCTGCAGATCTGCATGGTGAATTTGTGAATTGATTCACTCATCACAGCCATTAAAGATACATTTGTGAATTGATTCACTCATCACAGCCATTAAAGATACATTAAGTGACTCTATGTCAGCCATAGAGACTCTATCCTAGTCATATCATAAAGACTGGAAAATTGCCAATTCTTAAAAGCTCATGATAATGGAATGATATTTGCACCATTTGCATGCAGCCTGAAAGTGCTGTGCAGTCAAAAAGTCATTGTTTGAGTTACCTGAAAAGTGCTGACATGGGGCATACACTTGCTGTCCACACTCATGTGTTTCAAGAGGCATATTCTCTTCAACAGTGTCAGGGTAGGCAGAAGTCAGGGGGCGTCCCGAGGCGATTGTCACCCGGAGCAGAGACCGGGTGACACCCCGCCGTGACGTCATCACGCATGCGCGATCATCTAATTGACGCCTGCCAGCGGCCAACTTGGTGATGGACGCCGGCAGAGAGAGGAGGGGACGTTCACCAAGTGGGATGAGGTATGCCGCCGGGTCCCCTCCTCTCTCCTGACACTGTCGGGCTCTCAACCCTCCAATGGTGCCACCCGGGTGCGGGCCGCACCCCCCTTGTGACGCCACTGTTCTCATTGATGTCAACGCTTTACTGTTCATTAAGGAGAATATAGACATCCCATGTACTATTACAAAGCATGCTTAATGTGCTACATAGTTCATAGACATAAGATTGTTGCCTTATGGTGAAACCAGATAGATCAGAAGACATTCTTGTAATGTGTATGTGTACCTTAAAGTAAAGGTAAACCCAATTACTAAAATGTCATTCTTGTGCGTTTTTGAAATTTCACAAGCACTTTCATTATTTCTGAATCTGTAGCGTTCATTAAAATAGTACCTGGTGATCCTTCCATGACAAATAAGAGACATTTTCAGAGTTTACATAACCATTAAGAGAAGGTAAAACTCCTGTACTTCAGTATAAATACCAGTTGGCTGCATGGCATTCTTTACAAACTAAACATCACTGCTTCTATCTAGAAAGGCTTTCTATAATCCATTCTTGTGCTTATGTGTGATCATTGTGTCTCCTTAGAGTGCCCACTGGAAGGAAGCCCTCAATATAATGAAACTGGTTGTGTCCCGATCTGCTAGTTTGGTGTTACCTGCTTATCAACACGGTGATTTGACAAAATTAGAAATAAGCAGATTGTGGACGAGTTCCTCCAAGGAGCTTCCGGGGAAGACATTGGATTTTCACTTTGATGTCTCTCAGGTAAAACTATGTGATATAACTGTGATGCTGACGCTACCGCAGTAAGCTAGCAATGCATAGCACTCATGACACCATTCACACACCTTTTTGGTATGTATGTTCTATTTCTTACACATTCTTGTTGTGTTTACTCTTTCAGTTCTGTACTGTTGTTGTTTCTCCACGGGTTTGCACATTTTATGTTGTAAATTTTTTTAGCAAATGTGCTGTGATAGGCAGTGATAAGCAATAAAGATTTGTGTATAGAAAACTACACACTAGGGATGCACTAACACTGATACTAGTATCTGTATTGGTGCCGACACCGAGTATTTGGGCGAGTACCCATACTCGCGCAAATGCCCCGATACCTTCCCTGTTACAGAAACTTCCGGTCACAGAGAGATTTCCTCTGACTAGCAGTGCCACGAGGGAACATTAAGCTGGCTTCCTGGCCAATAAGCAAGCCGGCTCCATGCTGATCGACCAGGAAGCCGGCTTCCCAGCCAATCAGCATCGAGCCAGCCAAACAGTATGGAGCTGGCTTTCCAGCCAATGAGCATCGAGCCAGCCAAACAGTATGGAGCTGGCTTCCCAGCCAATCAGGAAGCCGGGCGGCGGGTAATGACACGCCTCCAGGCTTCCTGATTGGCCAGGAAGCTGGCTCCATGCTGATTGGCCGGGAAGCCGGCTTCCTAGCCAATCAGCATTGATTCAGCTAAATACTCAGTATGGGCACCAATACTAGTATCGGTATCGGTGCATCCGTAGTGTGTAGTATTCTATGCACTTAATACATTGTACACAAATCTTTCTTGCTTATCGCTGCCTATCACCGCACATTTGCTAAAAAAGTTACAACATAAAATGTGCAAACTCGTGGAAAAACAACCACAGTACAGAATTGAAAAAGATTAGCAAACATAACTTGGAGCCGCAGTGATCAGCATCAAGGGATACAAAACTGGCTATGGATCGCGGGGTTAACAATGTAAATGTATGCATACTTTGCAGCAGTCTGACGTTCTATGATAAATTGTGCAGTCAGTGGTAGACCAGTATTCATGATTCAGGCAAGCTGCACAATTGGATGACCAGATATTCATCAAAAAAATGCAATCTCTATTTTCTGAGAGAACATCTGATTAAATTGTGCATCAATTTAATGCTTCCGAAGTATGATTTATGATGATCAATATGGTATAGCTTTCTGCCTGTCTGTATAGTTATCTTCTTTTCTGTCAGGCAGTTGATGTAGTAATGCATGAATATTAGTAAAACAAAAGTGTATTTGTGTCCATAGACCCCCATCATTGGTAGAAGGTTTGATGATCTACAAGGGTCTGCAGGACGAGACGGTAAACGTAGGGCAATGCCAGTTACTCGAAGCACTTCTTCCACTTCCTCTGGATCCAACTCCAATGCTTTAGTCCCGGTCAGCTGGAAGAGGCCCCAGTCCTCTCAGGTAACTTTTAATTCATTGTATGCTTTAAGGGAATTCATTAGCTGTCTGTGTTGCACTGTTTTGTGGTTAGCTAAGAAAATGATGTCATGGTGAAATCTTGTAGAAGGAATTAGTCCGCTGCTATGTGAGGAATTTGAGCAGTGTGGTAATGGAGATATTAAACAGACATTACAGAAATGTCTTACTTCCTCCTTTGTGATATGATATTCTTTTAGTCAGATGTTGTAATGTAAGCCTCCTCTGTCAGCAAAGCATCCAAGTGCTGCAATAGTCCACTGGCTATGATGATGGAATAGATATTTGCATACTCCTGAAAACCTGTAGCGACTAGTTGCTGCTTCCGAACTATATTTTGAATATTCATTTTATACCTGCAGAAATTGTAATATCATAAATCAGGACATGCAAGCTCCACCCCGGTCAGGACAAATACTTTGCTATATGCTATTTTTTTTAATTGACTCTGCACTAGAACAGTAACAAAATGTTAAAGAATGCAGTGGGGCTACCTCCCCTTTGCAAGATGTATGTGCTCATTTTCGTCTAGGGTGTAAAATAAAAAAGATACCCTCACCTGAACCTCAGAGCAGGTTAGCTGCTAGACCCGGTCCCTGCAGCCTCTCTCCTCCGGTGATGGAATGTCTCTTGACCTCACAGGACCTTAGACCACTGGAGGAGATCTGAGGGGGGAGTGACCCTGCAGGAACCGGCCTAGCAGCCAGCGGCTCCGAATATCCTTTTTATTTTACACCCTAGATGAAAACAAGCTTTTAATCCTTGCAGTGCTGGGGTTGCCCCTCTGCGAGGGTTAAGATCATTTCTGCCCAGTGTTCTTCTTTAAGCATGCTGGTACCCGAGACCCAAGATTGTTATATTCTGGCTTGCAATGTCTGTTGTTCTTAATGTAATATCCATACACTTCCTGACATCTGGCAATGCTCAACTCATTCTTCTGCTTGTATACTTGTTAACGTAAGTATAGTCAAAGTGGCAGTACCACCAATGACACCTTTGCAAGTGGCTTTTCTCCCATCAGGTACAAGCCTGCACCTGGTAGTATAAGGGTCACCCTGCTGGCGCTGTCATTGCTTTTTTTTTTTTCTTCTATTCTGATAGTTTTATCATTTTGGGGCTGAGTATTGCCCGGGTAGCAGCATGGGCCTTTGTAAAGCAAGAATTGCCTTATTATTCTATGCATAATCCTGAACAAATCTTTGGCTAGGTCTTATTTTTTGGTCATTTGTATTTTCAACACTGTGCAGTCTTGCTGTAGTTCCAGTTTTTGTGCTTTGTTTCTTTGTCAGTGTGCAGCTGTTGTAGTTCTACAACCCCAAGCATCATACCAAGCTCTGATATTTCAAACCAAGGCTTGCTAATAGTCCTTGGTTGTGGTTCCTTTACAGCTTGAGAACTTCTTGACTAGCTGAATTATGTGTTGGGCTGCTTTTTTACTTGTAATTTGCTTATGATATATTGTCTTTTTTCTTCCTATCTTTCTCTTGTCTTCCTTTCCCTCTTTCCTTCTTTCCTTCTTTCTTTCAATTTGCTGAAGAAGAAAACAAGGGAAAAACTGGTGAACGTCCTCACACTATGTGGCCAGGAAGTGGGTCTCAGCAAAAACCCCTCTGTGAGTATCCATTTGCATATGTAATATTATTATTCATCGTAAATTGTGGTGTTTATCTCGTTTTTGGCAGCAGGGGGCCCTTGTTTCCAAGGAATGACAAAAAATATTATCAATAACGTCTGAACACCAGGGCTTTTTTTATAATAACTGGAGGGAAGTGAAAATGTCTGGATTACCCACTGCAGCCTGGGTGTTGCCTTTCTTTATCTCACCTGCTCAAGGCAAAATGACAGCTAGAATTGTGAGCATGGCAACACAAGTGTCGTATTTTCCCGATTTTTTTATATTTAGTCCCATTGGCACATTTTTTTTCATCATGCCAGCTATCATATGAATGTATCGTGAGAAAGGTACCTGTTTTTGTGCTGTTACGTTTATCCTCGGACTCAGAGTGGCTGACCTGATGTTGAGCCCCCTACTTGTACTTGGTTACTGACCCACTAAGCAGTAAAGTAGAGTCTGTGTGGTAACACGGGAACTGTTATCTTCTGAAAGTTGTCCGCAAAGACAGCACAGGTATTGGTCTCATGACAGATTCAGTTAAAAGCGGTTGCAATTGGTTGCTTACTATTTATTGTATATGGTCATTTAAGAAAGCTACCTGCTATCTGTACCTTAAAAACAAACTATGATAAAAATTTAAAATGCTATGGGCAAAACTTGCTTTGACTTTCTTTGTACCAGATTTTAGAAATGAGTTCCCATTGTAATTTTGTCACCTATAACCTGAAACCAAGAAGCCGCTTGGGAATCAGACCTGCATATAACTGTATAAATACCCATAGCTTGACCTTTTTTATGTGCAATAACCAATCAGAATCTTAAGAGTATCCACAGTAACCAATCAGGTTCTTTCCTTCTTTGAGTGTAGTGTGTGAGAATATGATTGCATGTTGTGGGCAGGCACTAAATAGGACAGAGTAATGAGTATATGATAGTATAATTAGGGAACACAAATGCTGCTTAGTCAGGGTGTCCATGTGCACATTAATTTGATGTACATCTGATTCGCCATAGACAGACATGGGGTCCGGTAACTGCAGTTTTTTGTTGCAATGGAGGAAAAAAGTGGACGGACATGGATGTCATAGCGGTGACATTCGCTCTGTACTGCTGATCCTCTCCTGATTAGCCCATGTGAAAGCGGCCTTAGAGACTCCAAACATTTCCACCCACTACACCATGTAGTGTTCTTACATGTTTCCACTTCCCCGCATCCTTATCTTCACTCCAGCTTTCTGCTGCTCTGGATGTGTAATGTAAACATTTACACAATACCAAGCGGTTCGCTTGGAGGAAGCAGCCGACTTGTTCCCTTGGAAAAGTTCCTTGAGCCTGAGTTACTCACTTTGTTCAGCTTCGGTTTGAAGGCACCTGTCCAACATAAATAGTTAAAGTGCAATCTAAAAATAACGGGCAAAGGAATTAGGTGTGGACTGGAAAGCCTTACAGCTGAAAGCTAGATGCCAGAAGCTATTACAAGGAGTTGCTGTCTGGTGAAGATTTTAATTCCACTTAATATCTCCAGGTCATCTTTTCTTCATGCGGTGATCTGGATTTGATCGAGCACCAGACCAGTTTGGTGTCATCAGAGGATACAATCAGAGAGCAGGAGATCATGGATGATACAAACAGCGAGCAACAGTTCCGTGTCTTCAGGGATTTTGACTTCCTGGATGTGGAGCTTGAGGACGGAGAGGTAAGAGGCACAAGCTGGATGCAGCATGATACAGGCTGGAAACTAACTGGTTGCTGTCAGTGACACAATTGTACTTCCCTTATTTTATATATCAGAGCAGACAGGCTATGCTTGGGTATGTGGCCCAAGTTAAGTAACAAGTATGTTTTCTTCAGGGAAGGGTTCCAACTGTATTATTATAGTTATGCTACAAAAAAAAAATCACATCTAAAAAAATAAGTCTCTAGACAAAACGACATTTTCCTTCTTGTGGCATTATGCTTTCTGAAAGGTAGAGAGCCTCGGACTTTATTCAGTCCTTGGCCATCAATTGTATATAACCAAACTTTGCAAAGCCGTCCAGTCCTAGAGGCTAAATGACTGCTGACTGCAATAAATGTTATGGTTTTATTAAAGTAAGGCCGAATTAAGCTGAGCAGCTCACATATAGTGAACCTAGGCCTCAAAGCAAATGCCAGTGTTGCTAAATGGTAAGTCCAGGCCTGGAACAAACTAAGCACTAACATATTATGGTAAAATATATGCCTCAGTCTGGAAACTGTGGACATACATTTTGTTTGCTGAGCTGGTATCAGTGAACAATGCCCTTAGAACCTCTAACACATTTTGGCTTATTATACTTGTGCACTGCTAACAAAATGTCTGTCTGACCCGGAACAACACAGGAATTTGATTGGCTGCTTTAGTGTCCACAAGTTATGTGAGTGCATCCTGTGGATCAGAGTCACCACAGAATGGACTATGACTACTAAATAACAGTTTGATAATGAAGTATTGGCTTCTGTTTTCCTGTCCAGTCCACATTACATGTTATTTATCTGATTGTTTAGATCATTTATATGTCTCTATTTCCATTACCACGTATTTAATATATCTGTAAAGAAGAACTCCGGGCAAACCACATTAAGTGCATGTTTTGTCTAGGGGGTTCAAATAAAGCTGTATAGCTCACATGATCCACGCTCCCTCCGACTGCTAGACTGCTCTCTGTAGCCTCTTATTCCCTGGTGGTCTACGTCATCCGTGCCGTCCCGTTCATGAGACATCCTGAGGTTGTTGGGGGGGGGGGGGGGCCGGATTTTTA